AGGGAGGAGCCCCGGGACCCCCGGGAGCCTGAAACGGGGGGAGCGGAGAAGGGGAAGCCTGGAGAGTGGGGACCCCTGGGATCCCTGGGACAACGAGGTGGAGAACCTGGAGAGGGGGAATGTGTGGGAAGGCGGCACCCCAAAGGTGAGAGTCAGAGGAGAAGGGACCCTTGGGACCCCCAACACTCGCAGCATCCCCTAAGCGGGACCCCCAACATCCCAGACAGGGGAGACCCTCTGAACCCCAGAGGAGAGAGACCAGAGAGGGGGGACTCCTGGGAGAGTTTTTTTGTCATGAATCTTCATATTTTGGCTGAACCCTAACTTTTTGCACTGTGATGGAGGGGTGTCAATCTCGCTATTTCTGAACAGTTTTATTTCCTGAATGTCGGTAGATTGGGTTTTTCTAGGTTGAATTGTGATGTTTTGGAGATTTTTATGGTCCCAGGATGCCCGGTGAGTTCTAGAGATGGTCTTGGGCAGGAGGAACCCCCAAGCCAATGCGCTCAGCCCTTGTTTCCCCCCCACAGGATTTGTCCTTCCCAAAGCTTGGGCAGATGGAGGAGGAGGCTGTGAGGAAGTTGCCACGGGCCCCCCAGGCAGGTAAGGAGGAAGTCAGTGCCCCTTTGGCCCTGTCTTGTGGTGCCTGTGGGGACCCAATTTGGGGGGGATGTGCTTGGCCTTCCCTCTGGGCCGGAGGCAAATCCCCTGCCTGTCCTTCTTCCTTCCTGCCCCAGGCCCCGAGCTGAGGACGGAGAGCACGGAGAACAAATCCCCCCGGCAGAGCCTGGTGGGAGAGGCCGTTTTGAAGGGCTCCCCGGCACAGGAAGGCAGCGGGGAGGAAAAGGCCTGGAGATGCCCCCGGAGGAGGGGCTGCAAAGCCAGCCCAGGGAGCTGTGAGGAGGAAAGAGCCGTCCTGTGCCGAGAAGGCGGCCGGAGCTTGAGCCGGAGCTCCGAGCTGGTGGTCCCTGAGCAGCCTCCCAGCAGGGAGAAGCCCTTCAGGTGCTTGGAATGTGGGAAGAGCTTCAGCCAGAGCTCTATCCTCCACAGGCACCAGCGCATCCACACTGGGGAACGGCCCTACACATGTAGGGAATGTGGGAAGAGCTTCAGGCACAGCTCCACCCTCCGCAGGCACCAGAACATCCACACTGGGGAACGGCCCTACATATGTAGGGAATGTGGGGAGAGTTTCAGGGACAACTCCCACCTGATCCGACACCGGCGCATCCACACTGGGGAACGGCCCTACATATGTGAGGAATGTGGGAAGAGCTTCGGTGACAGCTTCTCCCTCCGCAACCACCAGAACATCCACACTGGGGAACGGCCCTACAAGTGTGGGGAATGTGGCAAGAGCTTCATTTACAGCTCTGCCCTCTGCAGCCACCAGCACATCCACAGTGGGGAACGGCGATACGAGTGCTTGGAATGTGGGAAGAG